TTTAAAAAAGATACGAATCTAACGACACCTCATATATCAAAATCCACCAAGCCGTTTAGGCTGCACATCGTGAAAAAGAAATGGACATACATACATACATACACTTGGAAAACATAACCCTCCCGCAGTCGGGTAAAAATGGTTTGAAATTACATGGAAGTAATGGGAATAATTATGACATGTTAAGGTTACAATTATTCCACATGGAACTGGAGTACACAGAATTTCTGGTAATAAACGCTCAATACAAGCATGTTCCGTTATCGATATAGTCACCATTACTTGAGATTGTGGTTATATGTTTGTCTTTAACGGTGAAAAATTGTGAATATTTTATATTCTCTTAAAACGCTAGCTCTTACAAATGTTACCGTTCGGTCTTCGTCAAACTTTCTTCGAGTTTCTAATTACAGTCTAGTAGCGAATGCTCGACTAAAACGCAAAAGTTATTATTGGAGTTCAATAATACTGAACTCCTAACCCTGCCTTGTTAAAATATGAGATGATACGTTAATTCGTCACGTTTTACTTTTTAAAGTTTGTCGTTATGCACTTTTGTTCATGTGTTGTTAATGTACTTATCTCTCTTAGAAATAATAAGAGACGCAGCAGTTTAAGCATCATATTTTCAATACGACATTTCGATTCGAAGAATTAAGGAAAAAAATAACAAAATGTTTTTCTGTGACTGACAATGGTTTTACTCATTTTCTTACTCAATGAAACCTCAATATCTGCATGTTGTCGGTTCATTAAAAGTTGAACAATAAAACAAATATAGCCTTAGCAATACAATGGGTTGGTGTGGCCGAAACAATATCATCATCAATCCATATACGTCCCACTGCTAGGCACCGCAAAGGCTAACGAGTGACCAACCAAGTGTCACTAGTTGTGCACTGTGGAAACGGAAAAATCCCCCACCACCTGGTACCCCAGGAGTTAATACCACCAGGATGCAGTCTGCGGTGACCCCTGTGGAAGTCCTTAAATCGACTTCGACCGTAGGACGCTGCAGTGACAAGATGTGTAAATGGGTTTTAGGGATGCTAGTCTAACCCAATGTGACTGCGGAACCCCAACACAGTCCATGCAGCATATTGTTGCGCCCATTGTGTCCTAATATCTGTACGAGGGAAGATCTCTACGCGGCCACGGACAACGCAGTCAAGGTAGCAACGTATAGTTTACGTATACTTTTTAGTATATATTCATATTAAATATATATATATATATATATATATATATATATGTATATATATAGGACATAGTACGCCACGCTGACTCAATGCGGGTTAGGGATTTCGCATATTTTCCGAGGTTTGTGAACCTTATTCAACGTGCAGGTTTCATCATAATGTTTTCCTTCACCGAAAAGTTCATGGGAAATACAAATTACACAGAAAAGAAAACTTATATATTTTGTCACTAAGTAAATAATTTCAAACAAAGCAACTTTGTTAATTTCTAGCCACATAATAGTGAAATCGTATAGTTTTTCTTTTCCATGTATAACGTCTACTTTTATGTTATTTCAACTGCCTCCGTGGCCGAACGGTTACCATGCCGGACTGCCACGCAGAGGTCCGAGGTTCGATTCCCGGGCCGGGAGAAATATTTGCATAGCCTACATTTATTTCTCTCGTGAGTTTGGGTGTATTTTGTGGTTGTCTATGTGTGTCCATGGCACCCGCGACACAGGGTTTCCCTAGTGCGGGGCTATGTCGAGTGTGTGCGTTATTATTATTATTATTCTGTTTCAATATGTCATATATTTCCCAGGATGAATAACATACGTCATATTTCCCCCACATAATATGAATTATATCTGACGACATAATCTCAGGAAGGTAATGCAAACTGTAAATAGGGTCCCTCCCTATGGTATAAACGTAAGCCCATCGTCTAGCCTCCGCCTGACCTGTTACCACAAGCGGATTACAAGTTCCCTCTGCGCTGTTGCCGCATTTTGTCAAGATCCTAACCATCACACTAGTACGGAAGCTTTAAACCTAAGGCGCATTAGAAGACCTTTAGTTAGTGCAAAATCTCCTAAGGGAGTGGCTGTTTCATAAGTCCGAAATCTTGAATCTGTTATGATTAAGCTGACCGGAGAGAAAAGTCGTTATAAAATATGAATTTGGTGTAATATGTTTTAGTACCTAACATTACAAATGTGATCTCACAAATTAATAGATTATATATATCTTGTATATGAACACATTATACTGTAGGATTTATAATATCTCTGTTTTCTTTTACCCTTGCACCCATTGTCATTAACTTTTCAAAATATTATGAACGGTACAAATCGTCGCCCTATGTTCTCAAACTCGTATATTAAAGCAAAAAGTGTCCGACATGCAAAAAATGAATTGTATATACAAATGCATACTGATTTCACACCAAATGTCCTTCATATTTACACACTGACTTTTACCTATTCTTAAAGCAATGCGTCCAAATTAACACCTTTGATAAGAAATTTAAAATAAACAGAAATATTTGCCATCTCCTGAATAACATACACGAGTATAATAAGATACGAGTTTGAGAAAGTAAGGCATCGAAATGTTACTTTTATAAACTTTACATGGTTACACTTTTCACCTAACTATCAATTTGTCGTTGAGTATTTCAACCGTATTTCACTATACCATCGAACCTAGGGTGTTAGGACTTGGTAAGATAGTGGTTTGTATGTGTTTGGCAAGCTTTACACGCGGACTGCACACATTACATTGTTAGCGGTGGATTTAGCAGCCATTAGTTAGTTATGTTTACGTTGTTCTGAAGTGCAAATTACGAATTTGTTACTTATGTGCGTAGGTATTCGAAATGAAATTGTATGTGTTTATAAGTAAGAGTATAAATAAGTTTTGTAAATAATATTATTTTTGTCGCTCCACATCAATTACCATTTGTAGAAGGAAGAACCTACTTTGTAAGTGAAAAACTTAACAGAGGGTCATAATTTAAGGGGTAGAAAGGCACTTTAATAAGTTCGTGACAACACAATGACCTTAATTTGTAAAGTTTTATATTACATCCCATTAGGTAAAAGTGGTTGAAAAGCGCTCTTAATGTATTATTTATTCATGCATCTGGGAGACTAAAATGTTGTAGGTATACGGTCATTAACAGAGCACTGATCGGAGACATAGTTAATGACGGGTACTACGTGAGCGGCCAACTGAGAAATATTGTTTCAATAAACACGACCGGCGCGATCACCGGGAAAATTGACCGATTCCGAGAAATCCTCACAGGAAAATGTCATACGATATCTCTTTTTTTCTATCACGGCAACCAAGCCGAGATTTAATATTTATGGATGAAATGTGAGACGGAGCGCGTGATTCAAAGTGCCTGATGTGGAAATCGTACCTCGCAGATTTTCTGACCCAACGAAAGTAATGTCATTCTTTACATTTTACGTACCAGTTGTTTTCTTTTGCGAAAAGAAAAACGAAATGTACACTCGAGATGGGCCACGGAACGTACCCTTAAGGTGGGCGAGCGTGTTCCGCGATTTATTTCTCCCTTTGCAAGGTAGTTTGGAAAAATATTTTTTATTTGTTTATTTACGGAGATTTGCTTCTTTTGATGTAGATTGTAACTGTAAAAAAAAAGATTCGGATTATTCGAAAATGTCATTTCTGTTTCGTTTTCTTTTAGTTAGCGGTTTGTTAATCATAACATAGATTCCTTTGAAAACGTCTCTTCATTTATTCGGTTCGATGTACAAAGAAAAAATTGAATTAATATTGCCCAAGGGGAAAGTCTAGCACCACAAATATACATTCAGTAGTAACGAGAAATGGATGTTGGAAATAAAGGATAAAAGGAAATATTCGGGCAAATTTTCTTAATTAAAATATTTTTCCTTTCATAGTTACTGTGGATAAATTTAATAAAACTCCCATATTTCGATTTTTATTCAATGACATGGAAAATTACAAGTCATATTAATTATCTTGTTTGTTCGCAATACATAATCGTAATATAAATGTGATAGTATTTATAAAAATTTAATGATACTATTCTTGTTATGTTATTACACGATTGTATTAACAAATTCTCAAATGGTCCCGACTTTTCTCCCTTTTCTTAGAAGCAGCTGTTCACTTTGTCTAAACTTAACAATGTCGAACTAATAGGCATTAAACTCATTTGTTACACCTCCACGCTTCGCCGCCCGCCAAAGACGAACGTAAAAACTGGGGGATAGATAGATAGCTCGCTGACGCTCTGAATCCTCGCCTTCCCCATTTCCAAAAGGGGAAACAATGAAAATATTTGTCATTTAATGATAGTTCCTTTACGATATCCTCTGATTCACAACTTACGTTATTCCGCTGACGCGAATGCAAGCTGAAAAATGGCCCGAGCTTATGAATAATTGTATAAATTGCCACTCGGCTTGTCCTTTTCACTTCAATGGAAAGTAAAGTGTCATACAAAGCTACAATATATTCGGGAGCCCGATTCGGGCTGCCGCCGTAATCAAAAGGCTCTCCGGGGAACAATGGCGCCCACATCGAGGTCGGGCCCGATAAGCCTCGACAATTATACAACATCGACTTTTCAATTATCCAACCGGCTCTTCCTCGGAAACAAAGCAAGCTTTATTTATGTATATTAGAATGGTCATTTCGTACGCCCGTTTAGAGACGACGCGGGCACTACATTTGCGGGACTGTTAAGGCACTTTGCATGCAACATTTTATCAGGTCATAAGTGAATTCCATACACAAAGTATGCTTTCAAGTACTATGTTGTAATCAAATTCGTTAGTTTACAAAGAAGAGACTTTTCTTTTACTAGTTAGTAAAACACTAAAAAGTCGTGCTTTAGAAATATGGAATATTGATATAAAACTTTATGCACAGTTACGTATACATATACACGTAATAATTTTTATTATATTATTCTTTCATAAAAGCTTATTTTTTGTGGCTACTTTCGACTTGAATTTTAATTTTACTTTTTGTACATAGGTGAAACTGGAACAAAATGTGGGCAAGCCGTCGCGCGTCATTCACATACGGAATATACCCAATGAAACGACAGAGGCGGAGATCATACAGCTCGGGTTACCCTTCGGGCGAGTCACTAACGTCCTCGTACTCAAAGGGAAAAATCAGGTGAGAAACTACGTTATATATACATATATATATATATATATATATATATATACATTATATATAATTATGTTATGTATTATAATAATTATGTATTATATATAATTTCACTAGATATATATATAGTGAACGCGCTCGACCGTTAACGTAGATAAAATATAAACACCCGTCGAAAACGCAAAAAATGCATAATTGTGCCAAAATTATAAACTGCAAAAGCACCATACCTGTGGGTAAACGGGTAAACAGGGACGTTTCCTTCCACGGACAAGTGATTTTGTAATCAGAAGATGCATAATTTTTTATAAAAACAATTATTTTGGTTTTGTATGAATTTCGACAAAACAAATATGCAACTCAGTGTAAACCTCATGATTTGTAATACATGTGTGTGATCCTTTGTTAATACGCCATGAATATCGAACGAACGCACTTTTGTATAATGCATTCAGTTTCTGTGGTACGGCCGCTTGTACGTTTCAGAACTCTACTCAATGCTTAAGTCAGGACTTCAGTATTGCAGTGAGCACTGAAAATCATACTCAAGTCCTTGCCATTAGAGTCGTATTTCCAATGCTTGAAATCATACTCAAATCCTGACTTGAGCATTGAGTCCAGTTCTGGAATACGACTCTTAGTGATGTATACGTTAGGTAACACTGTTCTCGATTCTGATCGATTGTGAAAACAAAGGGACGTAAATTATTTTAAAAATATTCTACAACTCTTTTGTTATAACGTTTAGTGACGTTTCGTTTTTTTTCAGTTTTGTAGTATCTATTACCAGTAGTATCTGTAATTTCGATAATTTTTGCAGCACGTTGCCTGGAATGTCCGAATATAGTGAGCAAATAATTACTTATTAATTATTACTATTATTTAATTATTACGAGTTATACAAAAAAATATATAATGCAAAGAATTAACAGTGCGCTGTCTTTACAAAAACCTAGAGTTGGTCGTACGTATGAGTTCGTTGCGTTCGAGGACGAAGGAGGTCTAGTTTATCCCACCTAAGATGCTATCCAAATATGCAGAGTAGCAGAGTTAGAAATCCGGGAAATAATAAACAAATAACAAAAATTTCACACGAGGCCATCATTAAGTGAACCTCTTCTGATTAATAAGATGTTACCATATTTTGTCAGTAGTAACATTTTCATTTATGTTGTCATTCATTAATTTGATCAATTACCATCTAGTAAAATTAATTCAGACAGTCGCAAGTTCATATACTGAGGTGGGTAATCATTATTTAAGTTAATCGATAAGATCTTCTATTACAAAAAGATGTTATATAATAAGCTCATTTTACTGAAAGGACAATAATTTTCATATTTGAAGTCGATTAAAAAGTAAAGTTTAAATTTTTTTTAAAGTAAAATAAAGGACTAATCTATCTTATTCTAGTATATTTCTACTATATTAATATTACGACTGCTTGTAATCAACAAATACTTGCACAAAAATTATTCGATTTAGAATCGATTAATTGAATGGAATACGCGTGTTTACGCGTATTCCGTTCAATCAATCGATCGAAAAACACTTAGTTGGCGCTTCTACGCTTCAGAACAAGGGCGAAGGTGGTCTAGTTTATCCCACCAAAGATGGTATCCAAGTATGCAGAGTAGCAGAGTTAGAAATCCGAGAAATCATGATCAAATCACAAAAACTTTACACGAGGCCGACATTAAGTAAACCTTAAGATACTTTAGTAAGATTTTAGATATTTTGTCAGCAGTAACATTTTCAGTTGTCTTGCCATTCACCAATTTGATCAATCACTGACGGAGAACCATCTAGTAAATTTAATTAAGGCAGTGGCAAGTTCATATATTGACGTGCGTTTTCATTATTTAAGTCAATCGATAAGATCTTCTATTGCAAAAAGACAGTTATATAATAAGCTTATATTATTTCAAGGTCAATAACTTTAATATTTGAATGTAATTAAAAATTAAAGTTTAAATTATTAAGTAATCAAAATTTTTTAAAAACAACTTTTAATAAAGGACCTAGCTATTTTGTTTTGGTATTTTTCTACTGTATTAATATTTCTCGACTACTTGTAATCAACGAATACTTGAATCGATTAATTGAATGGAATACGTGTATTCCGTTCAATCAATCGATTTAGCGCGGAAGGAGGTTTCCCATCACTAAATAGCTCGTGACGTCATAGTGGATACATAAAATGTGACACGCTCGGTTTTCATACAAATTGCTGTACTTGCGGCGTCTATCTAGATATATGTCTGTATATACATATACACATATATATACATATATATATATATATATATATATAATATATATATACATGTATATAACAACACGTACAAAAAATTTTGTGGGAGTATGTTGCACTGTTCGTCATACGGTTGTTAATGTTGTGTAGACGTGCTGTAGCGCTATAATAAGAAAGAAATATTATACATCTCTATTGAATTGAATTTATTGCGTGCCTTGTTCCGAAATTGAACGTTAAGAATCTAGAATTGCGTACATTAATTTGAATAATTGGAATAACAATGCAAATCTACACCAGCCCGTAGTATGCCACCTCGGTGAAGCTAATTATATCCACATTTAGCTCTCAAATTCGAGTGATAAACTTTAAAATTTTAATACAATTGCTAACGTGACGAGCACCATGATGTCTCATTTTCATGTCATCGCAAGCACCGCAACCAATGACTGCAAAATATTGACACAGTATCAAACATAGCTGCAAGGTCACAACTGTTTTTAAAATATCTAGGCAGTTCTGCACAGTAATTTTATCAACGTAAAAATTGAGCGCGACAAACGAGATGGAGAGAAATAATAAAAACAAACAAAGTGATATATTTATGTAAATTATTGGAAAAAAGTGAGGACACCATTTTTTAATACAGTTCAATACATGAGAGTAATTAGAAATACGTGAATAATAAGTAATATAATGTAAAATATGTACAAACAGAACAACAACCGGATATTTTTTTACTATTTTTTCATATACGCAATTTCATACCTTTGTCCTTGATCTTCAAAATCTATAACAATAGTTTATTGCCAAATAAGCAAACTTAGCTTTATCAACTGAAATAAATTTTGTAACGGGGAGGTTTATCACACAGATACTGCCATGTTACGGCCACAGCAATTGACATGCTAACTAAAAAGTAGCAATTTTCACCAGAGCCTATAAAAGGGACATTTGCGATAAATTTTTGAGTTTCAAACAAATATTATATTATTAATTTGTTTTACTACAAGTTATTTTTTTTTAATTTTTAATTTAATATAAATTAGCTGAATAATTTGCATCGCAAAATCGACGAAATTCAGGTTAGCGCAGTGTTAATTGTTGGCGTCGAAATGTACTGTCTTTAAAATAAAATATCTACCATTGACATAGCTCTTAGAACACCAATGAACCCAGAACCTTAGAAGTTTCGGTCACCTCACAGGCTCAATGAGAATTGGAAACATTACATATATCTGAAGAATTAACTTAAAGTTAATAGATAATTCTAGATTAAGTATGAATTTATTAAATTTATTGCCGTAAATTAGTCCTTTCGCACTTACACTTCATACTTCTTTTACCCCGTTCGCATATTATTAGTCCTTATTAAAGATAACAAACTCCAAAATTGCTGCGCTATCAATAGCTTTGTCATTCATTCCCCGACAAGAGTTTATCAAGATAAAAGCTCTATTTTCCCATGCAACTGACGGTAAACGGTAAGTAAATAACAATAGCTGCAGTTAGCAGTCTCGGCAAATAGTGAATAAGAGCCAAGCTTTTTAAAGTCCATCTCGAAAATTGTATTTGTAGTTGTGATCGTTGCGCTTACGACTGGTTTTGTTTCTTGCGTTTTCCCTCTACTTATTGTTTATTTACTTTAAAAATAAAAAGAACATTTACTTTATACAGTGGTTAGTTAGATACACATATTCAACGAAACAAAAACAATATGAGATTATAAAATGTAGCATTTAAACAAGATAAAGCGTACGATAGTAATTAAATAATGAATATAATTGAAAATCGAGTTAGTACAGCCTTGCTCAAACTTCATTGAAAAAAAAAATTTGTTTCTAAGTGACGGGATGAACAAGTCGTGCGCCTGATGGTAAGCGACACGCCAGTCCATAATAGTTGCAGTACCACTTAGAGCTTTAAGTCTCAAAGATCTGAGAGGCACTGCCACTGCTCCCGTCACTCTGAGACATAAGTTGAAAAGTCCCATGTGCCTGTAATTTCACCAGCACCCCTGCACTTCAAAACTGAAACACAGTAATGCTCACATTACTGCTTGGCGGTAGGTAAGGTGGCAGTACTTCCCTGGACAAACTCTTTCACAAGGAGCTCTACTGCAACTAAAAGGTTGTATACAGACTGATTTATATGCAAAGGACACGTTCTCATATGAAGCCAACGCTACACCCTCCATCCACAATTAAATACCGAAAATAGAGCGTTTGCAATGGATACCCTTTTAACTTCTCAAGCTAACTAAACGATGCAAAAACCAGCAACACATTAAGTCGGCCATGTAACTAGCCACAATACAGCGTGTCAGGAAGCACAACAAGTGGGTGGCGCAAATAGGCCGCCTAGCCATTGTGAAGTCGAGCCTCCACCTACTTCTCTACCTTTTATTTTACCTATACACTACAGATACCGGAAGACAGAGGGCGAGCTACAATGCTCTTACACTATTTGTGCCTATAAACGAAGAAATCCTTTAACGTTTAATCAAGATGCACAGATATGATTATCTGTATTATCTTTACTGTTGAATATACTTTTTATTTGTCTTTCTTTTATTTTAGCGAGATTTTCTCTAATGATAACGTCTGAAAGAAATACAAATACGAAACGATCTATACCTTTATTACTCTAGCTAAGTACAGAAATATTATCAGTATTTTTTTAAATTTGATAGAAGGTTGTTACCGTCGCGCATAGACAGTCACAATACTGAGAAGTATCGTTAATGAAATGC